TCATTCATTCATTCTAAACCTTTATTGAGGACCCATATAGTCAACCTGTGGAGCTCCTGGGATGTGCCTGGGATCATGTCTTGTGTGCTCTCTCACTCCAGATCCATTTCACTGTCAGCCATTTAGGGTGTATAAACTAGTTTACTCTAGTCCAGGCAAACCCTTAGGTACAAATTACATATAAAGGACGTAAATAAACATGTGTTGCGTAAAGCCATTTAGCTCATGTTCCCACACAGAGCTGTCTTTTAAATTGTTTCCAGTTTCCATTCTAGGCCACTTATTCCCATTGCCAGGCCAGACCAGAGCCATTTATTTATTTAGTTAGTTTAGATATATACCCTGAGAGCTACTAAGAAGATTTAAAGCAGCTGTTAAATTTCTTTCTTTCAGCTCCCTTGGGTACTGAGGAAGCACATTCCATCTGGGCCCTAAGTCTTGCCTCTCAGTCCAAGTAAAAAATGCACTCGATAGCCAAATAAACCCCTACCCAGTTTAACACTAGATTTCACTCAATGCTCTTAACTCCAGTTCCCTTTTATTTTTCTGAGAATACAGACCCAGGTTTATCTCCCCTAAGTTGTTCCTGCTTTAAAACTCTCCCATCCATGCAGCAAACATGGTTTCTCTATAGGCTTTAAGTATTTTGGTTCTTTTCCACTTTCACCAGCCCACCTCAGTGACGCAAGGCTCACATTCTGATTTTCTTAGAAACCATTGTCTTCCGCATTAAATGTTATCATATACCTACTACCCAATTACCAGGATATATTCCCAAATCTATATTAATTTCAAATAGAATTTGCAGTTTATCGCTGTCCTTAAAAATGTGGTTCTCCCTAATAAATACCAAAATTTTTATCAAAAAAATTCTCCAAGTATGGAAACTTCTTTACATTTTTGTTGTTGTAAAAGTATATACTATATGTGTTCACAAAATACATACTACAAAATGAAGCCTAAATTGACCTTTTTAAATTCCTCCTTAAGTCTTAGTCCTGATGCGGTCATTTCTTTTTTAAACATTTCCATGCTTGCTATTTCTGATAGAAATAAAAATGATTTACAAAATAGAGCAAAACTTGGCTGTGGTTGAGACACACTGTTCATATGAAAAGGGAGTTAACAGGGTGACTCCTCAGGAAAGGGACAAGACATATGCTCTTTTGAGAAAGCATAAAGCAGAAAGATTGTATCACAATCTATTTTTTTCTATCTGAAACTTTTGACTTTATCATAATCTTGAGAATTGTAGACAAAAATCTAGGAGCATACATACTACTCCTGGACTTTACATATTTGTCTAATACAGCTATTCATTTTCAAAGTAGACTATAATTAGGGGCTGTATGGGCTTCTCAGGACGTCAATAACAGTGATTCTGTTGCTGCCATTTGCTGGTTAAGAGCGTCCCTTTAGCTTAAGTTCATTGAAGAAAAAATTGAAAACCTAAGATTCTGTTTCAGCTGACTTTGAGGGAGATTGTGATGGATGACTCCCTTTTCTTTTGGAAAAGCCTTGGGTCTGAAGATGAAAAAAGGAAGAACAGGTTCCTGATATAATAGTAATTGTCACCCAGTCTACCAGGGCGGCTGCTGCCAGCCCACAGCTTTCTGGAGTTCCTGTGTTGACAATGCAGGGTAACTGTACTTGATAGGAACTGGTTCTCCTGGTTTTCTGGGATCTGAATGAGATCTGAATCCCTGTAGGGGGCTTGGAGTAGCATTTGTTTCTTAAGTACCCAGAACTCACCAGGGCTGATCCAAGTAAAGGTGAAGGGAAAGGAAGAGAAGGGAAGAGAAGTGAAGGTAAGGGGAGGAGAGGGGAGGAGAGTGGAGGGGAAGGGAGGGGAGGGACATGTGTTAGCACAAAGGAGGCGTGAGGCTGCAGGAGTAGGTTGCCAAAGGCTTGCACCCATATTTCTTACTATTGGGTTGCCAGAAAAGTCATGACTTTTTTTTTCTGTTTTTCGTTGCAAAAATGCGTCATGACTTTTCCAACAGCCCAATATACTCTCCCTTTCTTTCCCTCTACACAGTCTTTTTACCCTTAATTTCTTTTTTCTATCTACCTCTTTTTATAATACTTTTGTTATCACTCACAATTTCTTCTTTCCCTTTCTCTTCCTTCAGTATAATCATATTCTTTTTAAAGACCTTTCTCTCTCTACTCAGTTTTTGTTCCTCTGATAAATATTGGGATAGAAGCAACAGTAATTAAGTGATAAATGGTATTTCTAAATTAATATCATAGTTTTATATTTTTAATACGCATTTTAATTTAGCATATATAACTAAACTAAAAGTTTGATGAAGACATTTGACTTTTTGATTGCCTTTTCTACAAGTTTACACACAAAGAGCCTTCCGCTGATTGTCAGTAAGATATGAGAAGGCTGATTATAATGGGGCAGTTGTTTGGAGAAAGTGGCTGCTTTCCCTTATGGGATCAAAAGGTGAGGATTGGACAACCAGACACTCTTTGGGACTTTACATTTTGAATTAGTGAAGCACTGTAATAAAAAGTTACAGGTTGACAAAAGGTTGTTACTGATGCATGAATTTTGCTGAGAACTTGGTTTCTGACCCTTGAGAGCAACTTGGTTCCCGTTCTTTGTCCAAGCTGGGTTCAGCTTTCCAAGAATTCTCTAAGCTCTTTCAATACATTCCATTTTGCTTAACATGGCCAGAATTAGTTTTTGTTGTTCGCAACAAAAAAAATCCTAGCTGAATTACAAATTGCTACTTCTGATTTCATTACCAAAAAAAAATTTAAAAATCTAGGTCATATTGCCAAAAATGCTCTAGGATACCAGCTATACAGTGCTCTCTCTGAAGTAGCTGAGTGGATCATTAACCACTCATTATACTTTAGGGAAATATTTAATATTTCTGAATACATCTTTATATTTAAAGTAAAAATTTTTTAAATGCAGAAAAAATTTAGGAAAACTAAAACCAAAAATTTTCTCACCAGCTAAATGCAACTACTGTGAAAATTATTTGCAGTTATCTCAAAAATCACAAAAGCATTAAGCAAATATTTCTATTTATCTACCTTTCTATTTAAACATGATTCAGATAGAAATTTTTTCACTTTTCTTCTTTGCTACTTGGTCTTTTTATATTTGTAGCCACTCCTGTATGCAACAGAAATTCATCAATTTTGTAGTCTGTCAATTCAACCACAGATATTTCTATATTACCTGGTATTTTGTTTGTTCAGTTTGCAGGAAAATAAAATCATGAATATGTTCAGGCCATATTGTCTTTTACATCTCTTTCATAGTAGATGAACTCTGTGACACCTAAATTGCCCAATGTGAAAAGCTTTTGAAGCTAAACAGGCCTAGATTCAAATCCTAGGTTACTCACTTTTACTAGTGATGTAATCTCAGGCATATTACATGATCTTTATGCTCCTTAGATTCCATATTTGCACAAAGAATATGTGTCTTCAAAGTCAACGTGAAGATTAAAGATGTGAAAAATGCTTAACGTAATGACTCAGTCCCCATTGTGTGTGGTACCTTTATTATCTATGTGTCATCTATATTAGATAGGCAGTAAACTGTAGACAATATTTAATATAAAAGGAAGAATGGTGTCCAATCCCATAGTTTTTCTCCCCTTACCTGCTGCCTTAAATCAGTAATTCTTAACTTTTTCCCCAAGCACCTCTTTGTGACCAAAGAAAGCTATGGACCCTTTCTCTAGAAAAATAAACATTGTAAGTCCAATTTTTTTGTATAGAATTTCATGGGATTCCCAGACATCTTAAAACCATTCCATGGACTTCCTATTAAGAATTCCTGCTTTAAATCAAGGAGCTTCCTTTTAAGTTGTTTGTGTAACAGAGTGTTCACAAATATCCATGTGTTACCCTACAGTTGAGATGGGGTTGTAGAGATAATACTGGCCACAGGATGATGAAGGGAAGGACCCTTTTGGTCCAAGACTGTAATGGGCAGGTGTGAGTTCTGTTTCCCTTTTCTCACAAGTGGGGCTGGAAGTAAAGGCCTGTAAAATCGCCGAGTTGCAAAATGTAAGCATCCCAGGTCCCAGAATTATAGAAATGCCACCACGGAGATCCACCTGAGTCACCCTGGATTATAATGTGATGGACAAACCAATCTTTGTTAATTCACTGAGAAGCCAGGTTGCCTAGTAAGAGAGTTGCTATTGCTTAACTTAACTAATATAGCCTCTCTATTGACATATAAACTCATATAAATTGGATTAATCTGGACTATGTCCATATTAAATCAAATCTATATATTAATAATAACAAGTTTATAAAGTGATTGTTCAAAGGTGAAAACAGTCCCCGGACCCAATTCTGTGTGTATGGAGGCTTCCCTACACCAACAAGCAGATGCCCAAGAGTTCAACTCAATTCAGGCACTATGTACCTGGATATAGTCAGATTGCACAGGTAAAGGGCTCAGTCCCACAAGACTGCCCTCCACTTCAGATGCCAGCTGCAAGCCCAGGTCGTTACTGTGCTTCTCATGGACAGGCTACAAATCAGAGCTCCCCACAAACCCCTCCTCAGGTTTGATTAATTTGCTAGAACAGCTCACAGAACTCAAGAAAATCAGCTTACTCACTAGATTACAAATGATATTTATTATACAGGATATTAAAGGATATAAATCAAGAGCCAGATTAAGAGATGCATAGGGTAAGTTCCCAAACGAAGGAGCTTCCGTCCTGGTGGAGCTTGGAGCCCAGCACAGTGGCACATGGAAGCATTCTGGTTCTGTCCTTTTTGGGTTTTTATGGAGGCTTCTTTACATAGTTATGATGGACTCAGTTCTTGCTCTCCTCACTTAGAAAATTCCAAGGGGTTTGGGAGCTGTGAGTCAGGTGCCCTGGAATGAAGACCAAATATATCTGAGAAATATATTTCAGTCATTTGAATCACCAAATACATATATGTTTCTGAAGAAGCACAGTATCGCAAAAGGTCTTTCACATCTTTCACTGTAGTTTTATGACTGTAAGATAGCAGGGCAAGGGTTATTATGCCTCTTTTATAGACAGAATGAACTGACACTCATAACTGTGTGTGCTTACACTAGTGGAAACCAGAGCTTCTTTTACTATGCTGTGTTTTTTATGAAAATGTCTGAGTATCTTACTTCAATTTTTTAAAAATCTCATCTATCCATCCATTTATTCTAGCCTTGTTTTACAAAAGATTTGAGGTGGTTAGATTTCAACTAGCTCCCAAAGGGTTTAGCTAAAGTAGATGTTGTGCTGTATATAAAAAGTCTGATAACTTTCTGGAATTATCCTTAGTTAAAACTACTGAATGGTTTCAACTAAAATACAACATATATTTGATAAAAATTTGTTAATCAAAGTAATACATATTTTTATTCAGTTATTTACTAACAATATGAATTTTGTAATTCATATTTGTTTTTGTCAAAAACAAAATATTTGCTTCAAAACAAGTGAAAGGTGTATTTTTAAAAGAAATCACAAGATTCACTTTTTAAATCCTTTATTATCATGAAATATATAATATAGATAGGTACATAAACATGTACATTTTAATGGATAGTTATAAAGCAAATTTGTACTCAACCACCATCTAGGCCAAGAAATAAGATATTATCAGCATTCTAGAAGCAATCCTCTCCAATGCTAAATGTACTGATTGTCAAATTCAACACTCAATCTTTTGAATTCATCAGAACACAAATTACCCATGAGAATGATTTTTTTTCCACATTGCATTAGATACAAGAATCAAAAAAGATAGGTCATCTTAAATCAACATTTAGTTTGCAAGTTTCTAGAAGTATACTTTGCGATACAAGAAAGAATGAAAGCCAGATAGAAAACATTTTAAAAGAAAAGACTGCAGAATTACCACACCATTGCATATCACCTAGCAAGCAGACAACATTAATATAAGTGTGGAGCCCTGGCGGTAGAGTCATATGTATATCCCACTGGGCTAGGCTGCAAAAATATGCACCTGTCTGTATATGCCAAGGATGCTCCCTGCTGCAATGTATGTATGTAAGGTAGTGGCCTAAAAGCACGTAATGTGGGCCAATAGTAAGCTTAAAAGAATAGCAGTACAGAAGTCCTGTCATCCAGAAATGATAATGAAGCTTGATTAACTAGTAAATATTAGACATTTACATGAGTGAAATTATCAATTTTCCTCAAACACTGCATGAAAAATCAGGTTCCTGGTAATTCTATCCTAAATTGGACTAAACTATAGCCCTCCGTGGGTCTATCGCTCAGGAATTCAACTATGAACAAAACATGGGAATATGCACGTTTGGAAGGTTTTAAAGAATTGGATCCTATGATGTACTTTTGAAGCATTCGAGTCTGTCAGGAGAGAGTTGACAGGGGTAATGATTGCTAGCTGCAGTATCCAGAGAAACCCTTCAGAAGTAATTGCCCATAATATTAGAAACCTCTGGAGTTCTATATCTAGTTATAAGCAAATGTTGCTTTAGCAAAAACTCCAAAATCGTGTAAGCTTTCTAAAATTTAGAAAAGGGCCCCAAAAAACCACTTGTTAAAATATCAACTACTTTTTGAAAAACAAGGAAAAAGTCTCCTATGAAAAAAAAACACTTAACCACTTGTAGGCTTTTCCTTTACTTTGATTCAAAGACAGATAACAGCAGGACACTAGAGAAGCCTTCGAAGCAGTGATAAGCTCTCTTTTGGAGAAATGCTACCAGTTTATGTACTTCCTAACATCATAGATATAAAAAAATAAAACATTTATTCACAAAAAGTAATTGCAGTGGCTTAACAAAAAGTAGATAAATTAACGTTTTTGAAATGAAAAATTGGCTTTTCTATTTTAAATAGTTGCTTACCATTGTCTTAAGGTTTTGTACTGTTTCCAAAAAGTTTGCAGAGCTAAATTTGAATTGCAAAATGATGTGGAGAAACCAGGTGTCTGAATAGGTAAGGAAGGCTTAAGCAACTGTTATTGTAGCACTTTAACTCCAGGGCCAAGTGGACTTGCCTCAGATATTATGTCGGATAACGGGTGCTTCTGTTTTGGGGTAACTTCCTTGTAGAACAGAGTACTTCCTTTATGATCCAGCCTGCTCTATTGTAACATTGCCAGGGTTGCAAAAGAAAAGCCTAAAATGGAGACCCAGAAACAATATTCCATTGGTCTAACATTTTAATCTGTGAGTAAATGAGCCATATGTACAAGTAAACAATGTCATACAAGTTACATTGAATATTGTGGTTTTGTGAGCAGGGATTGGTTAGTATTTTGGAGTCATCTTATTATCTGTTTCACATGAGACATATAGTATTATGATTCAGATTGTACTTTCAGTTATCTGGATAATTTCTCACATAGTGGATTTTTAAAAATTGTGGTAAAATATACATACCATTAAATTTACCAAACTACATTAAGTGTACAGTTCTGTGGCATTAAGAACGTTCACATTGTTGTGCAGCATCACCACCATCCATCTCTAGTTTTTCATCATCCAGTATTGCTATGCTAAAACTTTGTACCCATTAAACGAATCTCCATCAACCCCTCTCCTCAAGCCCTAGTGACCTCTACTTTGAGTTTCTATGAATCTGACTATAATAGTTACTCTATGTAAGTAGAATTACAATATTTGTCCTTTTATAACTGACTCATTTACTTAGCATAACATCTCCAACATTCATCCATGTTATAGTATTATGTTAGAGTTTCCTTCCTTAAGGCTGAGTAATATTCCATTGTATGTATACATCGTATTTTGTTTATCCATTTATCTGTCAACAGACACTTGGACTGCTTCCACATTTTGGCTGCCGTGAATGCTTCTATGAACATTGGTACACAAATATCGGTGTGTTTTTGCTTTCTTTTGGGTATACACCCAGAAGTGGAGTTGCTAAATCATACGGTAATTCTATTTTTAATTTTTGAGGACTCTCCATACTGTTCTCCATAGTAGCTGCACCACTTTACATTCCTATCAGCAATGCACAAGGATTCGTTTCTCCTTATCCTCATCAACATTTATTTATTATTATTATTTTTTTAAGATTTTTATTGAGGAATTGGGGGGATGGGAACAGTGCTGGGGAATTGGGGAAAGGGGAACAGACAAGTTGCTGTCGTTTTGTTCTTCAATCTAGTTGTGGAGAGGACGTTGCTTCACTGGCCCAAGTTGGCACCATCATTGCGCTCTTCCCGGGCGAGGCAGATCAGTCGCCGGCTTCTGGACGGCCGCTCACTGTGGCTGCTGGCCGCTCACGCTGGCTGCTGGCCACACACGGTAGCCCATGGCAATCCACTGCCACAGGGACTGCAGCCCACGCCGTCGCCGGCGACTCATGGCAGCCCAGCTCCAGGTTGAGCTGTTGTTCAGCATCTTAGCTGTAGAGGGCAGTGTCACTGGCCCTCATATGTGGGATCCGAACCGGGGCCCTCTGGCATCCCAAGCGAGTTCTTAACCATCGCGCCACTCGGCCGGCCCCAACATTTATTTTTAATAACAGCCATCCTAGTGGGTGTGAAGTGGTATCTCACTGTGGTTTTGATTTGTATTTTCCTAATAATTAGTGATGTTGAACACTTTTTTTTTTTAATTTATTTTAGCTGAGCCATCTTGCCACCTGTTGGCAGCTCAGCGGCTGCTCAGCGGCTGCTCAGCTCTGGCCGGGACTCGAACTGCTGTTGCTCAGAGCTCAAACTCTTGAGCGAGCTCTTAACCAACTGAGCCACTCGGCCGGCCCTGAACACCTTTTTATGTGCTTATTGGCTATTTGTATATATTCTTTGGAGAACTGTCTATTCAAGTCTTCATTTTCTAATTAGGTTGTTCGTGGCACAGTTGTAGGGAGTTCTTTACATATCCTGGATGTCAGATAACTGTATGATCTCACATAGTGTTTTAAGGGGTAATTAAATCTGCAGTGATGGCTGAGTAGCAGTAGAAGATTCATGGAAATGGACAGAAGCTTCGTATAAGTGAATAAAACATAATGATAAGCAGGTTTCATTGGGAGAAGGAACAGGCAGAGGCTAGAGCAGACCCCCAGCCCTCACAAACGTCAAAGTAAAGGGGTTTGAGCTATCTATCACCCTTAGGCCGAGTTTTCCTTTTTTTTTTTTAATCCCCCTTAATGTGGGGGTATGGAATTACCTCAAATTTTGCCCTACTTTTCTCAAACCTCAACAACCATATCAAAGACACACTCCAGACAGATCAATAATTTGCTTCAAAGCAGTGTTTCTCAAACTTTGCTCACTTAACAATTTTTGCCGCATTCATGTAATATGTAACGTTTCTATACTACTTTCCCTTAAATCAACTCAATTTTAAAATTAAATTTATCTTAACAGGCAACTTTAAAAATCAATACAGTAAGCGGAACACCACAATAAGGTGCCCCTCCAGCTAGATTACAACCATCAGTTAGTTACTCCTTCGTCATTTGGGACAACCCTGGTTGGTGGCTCTAGATAAGCACACCCTCTCTCTAACCGGCAGCCTAAGTACATCTGCCAGCATGTGAGGTGGGACTATTTATTGGACAGAGAGTGCTTGCTGTTCAATGGACACTCTGTAGAAACAGGCTGATGGTGGCATAGTACCATTTCAGTTGATTTTTCTATACTACGTTTTTGGAAACACTGCTCTAGCCTAGAGATTTTATTCTTGGGGAGAGCAGCCACAGATTCCTCTGGGGTATGCTCTGTATATGTGACGGAAATGGAAAAATGGGATAGAGGCCCAACTAACCCAGCCGTCAGTGGTCTGAAGATAATTCTTTAATTTGGTAGTTCTCAAATTTTGTGGTCTCAGAACCCCTTTACATCCTTAAAAATTACTGAGGACTCCAATCTCCTATCTAT